CAAAGGTATTTGCATTGCATAAGCGACGAGGACGGGCAGGCAAACAGGCACAGGTTGGGTGAATCACTACGCAGCGCAGGTTTCCTTTTTTTCTCTTCATCAAAGTTTGGAGGGCCTATGCGGAGAGGCCGTTTTTCCACACACTCGCGAGCGACGAAGATGGATATGTTATCTAGCTTGGGGGAGCTGCTGGTGGATTTTTTCAGGGCACCGTCCAGTTTTTGCAGGCTCAGTTTTTGACGAGCCTGTTTGGTTCCATCCTTTTTTTGCACCTTGGGAGCCGGGCTCCTTCGGTGTTAACACTGGCGGCCTCCTGCAAACTCTCACACGGCAGCGCACATCCAGGTTACATGACGGTGGTGGAAGAAGAGTGAGGAGCACAGGTTTTCATCGCTTTCGTCTCGTGGTGCTCGTTACTTTTCATCCTTTTTGGTTTGTCTTCTTTTTTCTCTGAACAGGTTGCTGTTTTCTTTTGGACGCTGGCTGTGTACTTTCGTGCTGTTTGTTTTTTTCTTCTCGTTCTCTGGGGCTTTGGCAATGTTCCTTTTGGTTTTTAAAGCCCATGTTTTTAATCATTAAACAAGTATTTTGTATATTAGTTAGAAAAAAACTTGGTTATTCACGTTGACATATACTTTTTTGTTTGGAGCTCAAAAAGCAACGTCGTTTAGGAAAAAATCCACTATGAAAGCTTCTCTGAAATAAGTGATGAAATCAAGGACACAGAGTTAATTAAGGCAAATGAATTACATATTTTTGGGGTTTAATACTAATAATTGAAATGGGTTCTAGTAATACTTAGGATAAACTTGTTTGAGTATTACAGAAATATAATTATAAACTTATGCTCTAATTTATCTATTAGGGGAGTTATTATCTATTTTATAACTGATGTTCTAACATAAAGAATGAGAACTTAATGCCCACCATATTTTATTTGGAAATTCTACAGTAGAAATTACCAAATTACAATCATTCTGAACAGTAAAATAAAAAAGTTTTAAGGAACTTGTAAATTGAGTATTAGTTCTCCAAATTATTTTGTAATTATTGTATAAAATGCAATCACCATTAGTTTGAAATTTTAATACACAATAAACACTAATGTTTTGTGATGTATGTGACTCCCAAATTTGAGTTTTCTGGAAATAAAGAACAAGATTGCAATCTGTTTTTAAAATTAAAATAGCTTTTTTATTAGGAGAGACTAAAAAGTTACCACTATAAAAAATCATAGGGCTAATAAGTGTATTAGATTCAAGAATGCATAAATAAAAACTATCAAACAATTTATCTTTTTGAAGAAGTTCTTCCCGCTTTTCTAGCTTATATTGTATGAAAAAACCATCATTTTCATTTACAAAATAATCATAAAGCTTTTGATTAAGCATACTTATATATGGATATAAAAGTCTTTCAAAACCAGCTATTAAGTTTCTTCCCTTTGTTTTTACCACTGTCTCACTTATAGAGCATTGGTATTTTGATTTAATTTCTATATTTACAATTCCACATGAAACAGTAACAGATCCTCCATCTCCATAATTACGAGCATAATCTGTTTTGTAGTGAATTTTATTTATTAAATCTGTAATTAAGCCAATAACTTTTACCATATCTTGAGTATTTAATATTTTGGCCGTTCCAAATCTCACATTTGGTGGTGCAATAGTCTCTTTCAAATAGAAAAATTTAAGTATTAAAACTATAAACATTCTGACTAAGATAGCCATTATAGCTTAGCTATATACCTTCCCTGTTAAAACCTATATATTAGCATTGATAAGCTTTTGCTGTTTGGAAGTTACTGAAAATAAAATAATACTAAACATATAATTTAATTAGTGATATGATCTAGGATCCTAATTAAATTTTTATAATCATGAAATGATAAATAAACCTTGTTGAATGAGGAAACTTGAATTCACAAGAAAAATATTACCTTGCCATGTTGCATTTTATATTCTTGTAACCAACAGTTAACATCCCTTGAAATTGAATTAAAAAATGCATATACATTGCACTATATTACAACTTTATCTATATATATAAGAACAAAGGGCCTAAACCCCTGCAGCCGTCCAATTCCAAGCCCAGGGTTCCCAGTAAGCCCCAGCCTAGTCAAGGGCCATGGTTTGTGAGAATATTGGCTCAATGTTGTGGCGGTCAATGGGTGGCAAGCATATGTGGCCGGGGAGGGAAGAGGGCGTGATGCACTACTAGGGTTCCATGGCTGCTCTGCTTGTGGTGCGTGAGCAGCACCACAGGCAGGGCTGGTGAGGGAGTGTGCCAGGATAGAATCCAGCTTTTGTGGCCTGGGCTCTCTCTGAATTTCAGTTCAATTGCACACGTCAGCACTGATGGATTGAGCTAGGCAGATGAATCGATTCCTAATGTAAGATTTCCCTATTCTTGACATAGTGAAAGAATTGGCATGGATTTGCGGAGAGAAGCTATGGAGATTCTGATTCTGATCTCAGCCTTCGTATTTTTTGTCATCATATACGGTTTTTCCTCATCATATGAGTTGTAATCTTTATTGAGATAAATCGGGGCAGTGGAACTTTGAGTGGTCTATCTGTATTAATTTCCTTCTTTTTTTTTCTACATTGGAAAGTAAAGAGACTTCGGTTTTGGAGTTTTAGAGCTGTGATTAGGGGGGCCGTGGATCAATCTATATCTCAAATGCTGCTCTTATCCTCAGGCATGGTTGTTCAATATTTGCGAAGAAACGACAAAGTGCAAAGGAGTGCTGATAGGGTAACCATTATTTTTGTTGTGACTGCACTCTCAGTTTTCACATTTATTTTGCTATTTTTAGGGTTCTTGGAATCGAAGTTGTGTCCAAAACGGTCGAGATGGAGCTGGGAACTAGGAATTCGGGCAATTGCTGCCCCGAGGCCGAGTGATTCAAATGCTGATCAGTTTTATTAATGTCGCTTTTAACTTCAAAAATTTCATGAGCAAGATGAGCACCCTGCAACCATTGCAAGAGAACATTGTAGAGGAATGCCTTTGTAAACCGAAGTTCTCCCTGACAAGTAAGATATCATGGACAAAAATAAAATAAAATAATACATGCTGCAAATTCGAAATGTGTGGAGAGAAAGCTGAGATAACAACGAGTGAGCCTTGGTGCGGATTTGCAGATTTGCTGTCTACGAGGTGGTGAAGAGAAGTGTGTCCCAGTCATAGTCACTAGGGAACTCACCTGTGTTTGCTTGGAGATGAGGCCGAGTTACTTTCCTTCAGGTGGAGAAGCTATGCTCACAGATGTTTGGTAAGAAATTCTTTCTATTTTTTTCTGTAACTAAAACTATTTGACATGTGCACTAATAAAATGGTGCTGGGTCAGGAGCAGATGACTCAAAGGTATTATTTCTTTTGCAAATTTGTTGAACTTTTCGTTAATTACAATGCCAGATCAGAGTCTGAGGACATGTGTTAAAACCAGTCACAGAAGTAAAGTCACTATGCACGCACATTTACGATGAAACGTTTTCACCCCATAGCTTTTCTCTACCACCGCATTTCTGCAAGATGGATGAGCAAGTTTGTGAATCCATGTTGGCTCTCCAGCTCCTTAAATTTTATCACGTCAAGGCATGTGCACAGTAGGGTTCGGGGAAATTACCACTCATCACATCCACCTTTGCAATGTCGCTACAAGTGAGTGATCCCTTTTTTTCTCAACAATTCTTTTCCTAGGCTAACTCGATTTCTACTACCATAGCTTCCACTGCCACGATCAATCATTTGCACATCCAGATGTATAGAATCAAGAGGCTCGAATCATTTCAAGCTTCTGGTGATGCATGGAATCTCTCTCCTTCTCTGCCTTTCCAGCCGCAAAGCTTCTAATTACTGAATCAATTACTAACTATGATAGGTTAGTTTAGCTTCAAGACTTTTTTTTGTAAAGTTCTTTCTTCTAGATTTTGAGAGTTATCCTTAGACACTAAGTTGATCAAACAGCAAATATAGCTAAGCTCAGCAAATCTTTTAAAATGGCATGAAATTTGCCAGCCACCCAGCATTTGCTGGGTAATTGCTAATAATAGTATAAGATTAACCATAAAACCTTAGTAGAAATATTTTTAGAATCTTTTTAAACCCTAAATCCTAACATATTTAACACATCAAACAGGGACCGGCTCTCCATTCATGGACACAAAAAAAAAAACCAGAGAAATCAAGAGAAATCAACCTCTAAACCACCAGAATACACTACAAAACACGTCATGTGCTCACATCCAAGGCCAATCGCTTCTCTCCTCCCATCCTCCCTCTCAAACCAAGAACCCTGGCTCACCCACTTGCCACCTTAGCACTTGGTTAGGGCTTGACTAAATTGGACACCAGTGTCACCTTAGCCCGTTACATATGTAGCGATCTTTCCCCCGTTAAAATTTGTGTGTCCTCACACAAAACAAAATACCAAATTTAACAAATATTATGCATGCTTTCCTCCTAAATTAAGATGTACAAACCCATTTTCTCTTCTTACATTTTTACATTTGTATCATATCTACAGATCAAACCTCAACCTCCATGCTCTAAGCCAAGCCAACATCCACTTACAATATATCACTCACACTTATTCTTATCTTGCTAAGGTAACCAACCACTAGAATCAAAAGCAACTCTCTGCAATCTTCTACATAAACTTGAAAAAATTTTAAACCACCATAGCTTGCTGATTTCAAAGCCATTAACCCTGGCCTTTTGACAATTTACTCAATGAATACAACCTTTGGGATTTTCTCTCATTCATTCTTTACATCTGAGTAGCATTTGCCTCAGTACGTTCCATTCCCCCAAAAAAGAAATGCTAGCATGCTCAACATTAGCCATACTAGCCACAATAAGCTTCCTTTCACATGCATGGGATATTCAAACAGCTCTTTTGTTTGGCTCATTTGCTATGCCTCAAAAATCAGGCTTTTTGCCTCGATTTTCTGCATTACTTTCTAGCAACGCCTTTAGCATCTCACTGAAAGTCTCCACACAAAGCAAGCTTTATTTACATTGCTCAAATTAACAATCACTTATGATGCTCAATTTAGCAATTGTCAATTTTCCACATATGGTCCAAGAATGGATAGCCACACACTGCTCGTGAAAGCACTCAGCAATGTGGCTACCCTCACCTCCACCAAAATAGGGACCAACCCTCCATTCATGGACACAAGCAAAGAAATCAGAGAAATCAAGAGAGATCAACCTCCAAACCACTAAAACACACTATAGAACACCCTTCATGCTCACATGCAATGCCCATTACTTCTCTCCTCCCATCCTCCCTCTCGAACTCCCACTTGCCACCTCAGCACTCGGTTAGGGCTCGACCAAACTGGACACCATTGTCATTAGCATCACCTTAGCCTGAATGGTAACAGTTATACAATAATTATTCTTAACGACTTTAATTGAGAATCCCCATTCAAAACCTGAAGCGGGAATATCGGGCGCGCCATGCTCTTTGTAGGGTTTAAGGCCTTTTTAGGCTAGGTTGTTCTACATAGAAACAGGAGTCCGGCCATGGCGGTTCATCGCGGGAGGAAGAAGCGCTTGAAGAACAATGCTGCGGCCCCCGCCGCCCGCAATCCGCCCAGGTCTGATGCTTCTCACCACAGCGACTCCAGCGATGTCGAGATCATCTCCGTCACCGCATTTCACAACACTGGTAGCGGCTGCAAGCGGCCCCGGCCCCGCCGGGCGGCCATCAAGAACCTGGAAGAGAAAGAAGACGAAGAGGAAGCGATCGAGGCAGAAAATGTGATCGAGGTTAAGCCGGAGCCCCGTCTGGCGGATTCCGAGGCGACGGCGATCATGAGGACGCGAGAAGGGGGCGAGGGCAAGAAAGAAAAGCCGCAGAGGAGACTCCTGGATTTCGTGGTCCACGACGGGCAGGGCGCGGAGCAGCCGATCGAGATCCTCGAGACGGTGCCGCTCTTCGTGACGGCGACCATTCTTCCAGTGACGGGGCTCTTGGAGAAGCAGCGGGGGTTTCGATGCGAAAGCTTCGGGCCTTTGGAGTCTTGGTGCATCTCCGGATACGAGGATGGTGTGCTCGTCGTGTGGATTTGCACCGAGGCTGGCGACTACATTTGCTGCAAGCCGGCCGCCAGCTACAAGACTTGGTACAGCGCTCTTGCGGACAAGTCGTCCCTGTGTATAGCGGTCTTTAAGGCTCTTTCCAAGCCGGATGGTGGTGATCCAGAGCTTCCACTCGAGAGCCTTGTGGCACAGGTAGCGCGACGGTCCAAGAAGACGGCTTTGTCGCAGCCTTTTAGTCGGGAGTATCTCATCTCGATCGGAGGCTTTGTGTCCAGCCAGCTTAAGGCAATGGACGTAAGTGCTTCGGATGGCGACCAGGTTTTTACGGGCTTGCCAGCGCTGGTGGCACTAGAGAAGGAGTCGGCTTCTTGTCGCATGGAGGACGTTAGTTTGGCGAGTCATGGGAGGAAGAATGGAACTTTGACGATCAACGAGCCCGATGGTTCCAATCCGTCGTCCGAGCACTCAAGCGGCTTGACGGATCAGTATGCTGGCGATGCGCAGTATGCGCAGCTTCTCCAGGAACGGGAGGAGCGAGCCATGAGAATGAGGAGCGGCGGAGCTAAGGCGAAGAGTTACATCAAGATCAACGAGGACGAGCTTGCGGTGGATTATCCACTTCCGGAGTTCTACAAGCCTGAAGAGGAGGAGACGGACGAGTACCTTGTCATGAGCGGTGATGATGGGGAGCTGGAGCACCGCATGCTCTATGACTGGGCCCTGTACAACTCGGACATGCGGTTTGTGTCCTTGGAACTTCTTCCCATGGTTAGCGGTGCAGAGACGGACGTCGAAGTCTTCGGCTCGGGCCTTGTAACGGAGGACAACTTTGAGTATTGTATGGACAATGAGCCCGGTAAGTAACAGCTAAGCTCTACCAGCCGAAAGGATTGATTTTATTGTGTTTTTTTGTTCGTAGATGATGCGGCTTCTACCACGCATAACGAGAACCTTCTGCGAGTTTATTTGAGTTCAATTAAGGAATGGAAGATAGAGTTCGGTGCCAAGATATTGAGTATCTCTATCAGGACGGCTGGTGCTTGGTACAGGCTGGGACCTCCATCTGCTCAGTATGCAGCATGGTATAGTCCAGTTTTGAAGACGGCGAGACTGGCTAGGCACATCATTACAATGCTGAAGGTTGTAAGTCGCGTTTCTCGTCTTTCTTTTCCAGACGTCGTCAAGCGGCTTACTGACCAAACTCAAGATAGTGACACTTTTGTTGGCTCGAAAGTAGCAGATGTGGAGAGGTTTGTTGTGGTGCACGGACAGATCCTCCTGCAACAGTTTTCAGAATTCCCTGGTCAGTTTTTACGTGTTAACTTCCTGTTCTTTCAGATTTCTAACATTTTAAGTTCGCAGACGACACCATCAGGAAGAGTTCTTTTGTGACTGGGCTTTTGAAAATGATGGAGGAAAGGCACCATACCAAGCTCAAGGTCTCCAAGAAAAAGCTTCTTCGGGGCAGAAATCTTAATCCCAGGGGAAGCCTACAGCCAGATGCTTCCAAAACAAAGCCCATGCGTGCAACGACGACGCAGCTTGTTAATCGCATCTGGAGCGATTATTGTTCCACATACAATGAAGATGGTACCTGCGAACCTGAAGCTGAAAATGTTAGGCGCCAGCAAGATCAGAAGGCTGATGCAAAGGCTATTCGTGGTCATCTGATTAAGCCTGGCGAAGCCGTTGGTTACGAAGTCGAAGGTGCTGAGGACGCATTTTTGCTCGTGGAGTACCTGTACAAGGCCAATGGGCGTAGCATGGTTCACGGCAGGGTACTGGTGAAAGGAGAAAGCACAGTTTTAGGCGACGCAGCTTCCAAGCGGGAATTGTTTCTCACCGGTAGTTGTGACAACGTAGAGGTCAGGGATGCGAAAGAGATCGTGAAGGTGGAACTTAGACGACGTCCGTGGGGTCACATGCACAGGAAGGATAATGCTACGGCCGACGAGGAAGAACGGGAACGAGCTCGCGACAGGGAAATTAAAGGTCTTCCGACAGAGTACTTTTTTCAAGCTCTCTATGTTCCTGAGAAGGGCGGCTTCTTTCGCATTCCGCATGATAAGCTGGCTTTGGGAACCGGAGTGTGTGAAGGCTGTAAATCAAGGGAAGAGGCAAAGACAAAGGATAGCTTGTCACTGTTTGCGAATCTTCAAGGCTTCCGGTTCCAGGGCGTGGAATACCACATCAACGACTTCGTATACGTCGATATAACTCAAATAATGACTCAATCACAAGACGAAATTCAGAAGTTCAAAGGTGGTAGAAACAAGGGTCTTCGAGCTTTTACGATCTGCCAGCTCATGGATGTCATACCATCGTCAAAAACAGGTGCGGAGCAATTGACAGTTCGGAAGTTCTACAGGCCCGAAGACGTCGACTTGGGAAAGGCTTACAAAGCCGATGTTCACGAGGTACTTCGTTTTGTTTTTCTTCTTAATATGTGCTTTTGTACTTCCTTTCATGCAGGTCTATTTCTGTGAACGGACAACCACGATATCTCTTGCTGCTGTGAGGGGAAAATGTACCGTTGTGAAGCGGCAGGAGTTTACTGTAGCTTCAGAAACCAAAGCGCTAATGGACCTGTTTTTCTGTAGCTGCGTCTATGACCCACTGAAAGGAACTGTAAAACAGGTTCGTTCCTCGAAATGTCGTTTCATGTTTTGACATTTTTTTCTTTCCAGTTACCAGCTAATGTTAAACTCGGAAAACCACCAGTGGCGTCGAGTTTGGCATCAGCAAAAGGAAAGGGTAAACTGGTTGAAGATGATCGACAACCCAAAGAAACTTCTGCAAACGACGAAAAGCTATCGATGCTTGACATTTTTGCAGGCTGTGGCGGTCTGTCTGAGGGAATTCACCAATCAGGTATTTTCGTTCGTGTGGTTCTCTCCTGATATCCTCTGGTACAGGCATCGCGTCAACAAAGTGGGCAATAGAATATGACCACGCAGCTGCAGAAGCATTTAAAATGAATCATCCTACCGCCACTGTGTTTTTTGACAACTGCAACGTCGTGCTAAGGTAAGCTGTTTTACCGAAACATGAAACTGGTGCTGAAATAATTTCTTTGTTATGGCAGATCTATTATGGAAATAGGTGGAGACCTTGATGATTGCTGTTCAACGCCGGAGGCTGCTGAAATGGCATCTAAGCTCAGCGAGAACCAGAAAAGTAGTTTACCCAGGCCGGGTGAGGTTGATTTTATTAGCGGTGGTCCTCCCTGCCAGGTATAACTTATATGATTGTGTTTGCCAAGTGTTGACGTTGTGTTTCTTTTGCTCTCAGGGATTTTCTGGTATGAACAGGTTTAACAAGAGAAACTGGAGCAAAATCCAATGTGAGATGGTCCTGGGGTTTCTCTCGTATGCCGATTATTTCCGACCGCGTTACTTCCTTTTGGAGAACGTTCGCAATTTTGTGTCCTTCAACAAAGGACAGACTTTTCGTCTCACTTTAGCTTCGTTGTTAGAAATGGGATACCAGGTAAGCTTTCACTGTTCTCATCTTTTGTCGTGCCTCAATCGATTATCTCCAGGTTCGTTTTGGTATTCTTCAAGCTGGACACTATGGTATCTCTCAGTCTAGAACGCGTGCGATCATTTGGGCTGCAGCACCAGATGAAGTGCTACCAGATTGGCCAGAACCTGTACATGTGTTCGCGAGCGCGCAACTGAAAATACCGCTGTCTGGTAACTCGGTCTATGCAGCTGCTGACGATACCCGCGGCGGTGCTCCATTGCGGTCTATTACCGTCCGAGATACGATAGGAGACCTTCCTCCCGTGGCGAATGGGACAGAAAAACCTGAAACTCCTGTAAGTGACTGGTATTTTTTGTCTCTTCCTCTGGTACTAACTGTTGAGGTGGCTGGCAGTATGGCAATGAACCACAGTCGTGGTTCCAGAAGAACATTAGAGGCGGCGCAACTGTTCTCCGAGATCACATTTGCAAAGAGATGAACGAGCTGAACTTTATTCGCTGTCAGCGAATTCCAAAGCGCCCTGGAGCAGACTGGCGCGATCTTCCAGATGAGAAGGTGGAGCCCGTCTGCGTTTGTTTGTTTGTTTGTCTCTACTAACTTTTGGCGGTGATCCAACAGGTCAAGCTATCCACTGGCCAGACAGTGGACTTAATCCCGTGGTGCCTTCCAAACACCGCTGAGCGACACAACCAATGGAAGGGACTGTTTGGCAGACTGGACTGGGACGGGAACTTTCCAACTTCGATCACGGACCCTCAGCCCATGGGAAAGGTCGGCATGTGTTTCCACCCGGAGCAAGATCGCATAGTCACTGTGCGTGAGTGCGCTCGGTCACAGGTACTCAAACCTCTTCAAAGAAGTGTGTGACACTCTCTGATCACGGCTTGTTGTGTTCACTTTCGCAGGGATTCCCAGACAGCTACAAGTTCTTTGGCACCATGCAAAACAAGCACCGCCAAATCGGTAACGCTGTGCCGCCTCCCTTGGCCAAGGCTCTGGGTGTGAAGCTCAAAGAAGCTATTCGACAAGCAAGCTCGTAGACAAGAAGCATAATTTTTTCTCGGGATTTAGCTATACATGGAGGATGTGGCTCCACCTTTTGAGCTCGTGGTGTAACCAGCTCTTATAACATGAATAGAGCAAACTCTCAGTGGATCGATCATAGCTCTCCGAGAGAGCCCGAGTCGGAGAGATTGATTGATCTAGTAACTGTCATGGCACCTCTGGGGACGTGATGGGAGTTGGATGCACGGGGTTGACGGGCTCGTTCTTATTCGTGTACTGCTGCATCACCAGGACCGAGGCCTTGATACTTGGATCCGACGAGGCCAAGACACTCCCAATCGGCCCCAGCTCCTCGTACTCGAGCGCCAAGTTGTTCAAGCTCGCGATCAATCTGCATGGTACCCGAGCCCGGCCAACGATGACGAGATTGTATTCGCAGTTCCTCACGGTGTCCATCACTGCGTCGATCGGGTCCCCCACTGGCACTTGCTCGTACAGGATCCCTTGCTTGTCCTCCTCCCGGAGCGCAGCGATGGTGTCGATGTCGATTTGCTTCTCTTTCTCAAAGTCGACTCCCTCCAGATCGACGTGGTAGTGGTGCTGCTCGCCTTCCCTCTGGAAGATGGACTTCCTGCTCGTCTTTCGAGTCGAGATGACGATCGACTTCCTGTGAGTGACGAGTTCTCCGTCGGAGCAGGAGAGGAAATGTATCACCTTGACTTTCACTCCCGGATGCTCGGCCATTCTACATCCCATCGCCAAGGCCTCGCGATCGTCCGGGCCCCCAAAGAAAAACACCGCCACGCTGTGGGAGACGCTTTTGGGAACCAGCTGCACGGGTGCGTGGTACACGTCCGAGAGCCCCCTGTCTATGAAGATCCCGACCGAGCATGGCGCGTGCTGCAAGACTTGGTCGTTGACAAACTGGAATCCTGTGTTTAGTGTCTCTAGAACCCCGTCGGCCCTGCGGATCTTGTGGAAAGGCAGGATCAGCACGGCTGCCCGCTTGTCAGCTGCCGTTGCACAGATATCGTCGTGCATGTCGGAGAAATTGGAGACGACCGTCATCGGCCGGACCTTAACTTCGCTGAGATGACCGAAGGCCTCGAAAGCAACGTAGATGTGGTTCTCGCCCCGTGCGCTCTTGGTGAGACGGCCATTCCTCCTTGCCGTGTGTACCATCACAATAGCCGATGACCTCTCCGACAGCTCCACGAGGTGGAGTATGTAGAGCCGCATCGAGTGCCTGCTTCTTCCCCTTGCTTGATCCACCAGGCTGATGATACCGGGCACGTTTTTTATCCCATGGACGCATGCCACCACCCGGAGCTCGTCATTCACTGTGCACATCTCCAGCTTTCGCAACGTGTATGGGATGGGAGTCCTCGCGGGTTTGTACAACGCCATCACTATTGGAGTCGTGATAAAAGTCGTGAATAACGCCATGATCACCATGATTGCAAATGTTTCTTCGTTCAACACCTGTAGCATGGAGAACGACTCAGAAAAGACCAGAACTTGATCAAAAACAACATACCCCTCTCTCTTTTCCAATGTTGAGCACGATCAGCTCCACCAGTCCCTTCGTGTTCATAAGAAATCCCAAAGTCATCGCCTTCCTGGCATTGATTCCATAGACCACAGCCGGAACAAAAGTGCCGACGATCTTTCCAAGGCAAGCCGACGCAATAACCAAAACCGTGAGGCCACCCGACTTAGCTCCATGTATAGACTGGATGTTTGTCTTCAATCCACTGGAAACGAAGTATAAAGGCAGCATCAGTACGATGACAAAGTCCTCCACCTTCTCGATAACAATCTTAGCCAGCGGGCCATCTTTCGGGATGATCAAGCCGAAAACAAACGCCCCAAAAATGGAATGGATCCCAATAACATCCGTCGCAAAGGCCGAAGCAAGAACCCCGGCAAAAGTGATGCACACGTAGAGCTCCTTCACGGGCTCGTTCTCAGTAACGTGATGTGCCACCCAAGTCATAAAGCGTCGGACCACCGTAAACATGATCACCAGATATGCCAGGCCTGTAAGCAGCACCCATATAGCGACTGTCGGGCTCGTATCGGTGCCGGAGAGAGCTACTGCCAGTGCCAGCAAAATCCAAGCCACCACATCGTTCACTGCTGCTGCGGACATTGCTATCTGGCCAACGTCGGTAGTCAAGAGTTTCCTCTCTGCGAGAATACGTGCCAGCACCGGGAACGCCGTGATCGACATGGCCACCCCCATGAAGACGAGAAAAGCACTGAACTTGCCTTCCTTGGAGATGGTGTTGCGAAGAACTACTGAGACTCCCACTCCGGTGGCAAATGGCGTAGTTATCCCAGCCGCGGCTATCACCAGAGCCTGCCTCCCTGTACGCATCACTGCTGTTAAGTCGAGCTCCAGGCCGACCATGAAGAGGAAGAAAATCAATCCCAGGTTGGCGAAAGTTTCCAGGACTGTGATGCTCCTGGATGGAAAGATCTTGTTTATGTAGCTTTGGTTCCTGCCGAATGCCGATGGACCAAGTAGAATCCCTCCCTGCCAAGAAGAGAAACAAATAAGATCATCGATCTAGAGCGAAAGAAACACGGGACTTACAATGATCTCCGCCACTACTCTCGGCTGCCTCAGCGGCTTCATCACGATCGCCAGCGAGCGAGTGAGCGCCAGGACGATACACATTTGGACCATGAGGAGAGGGAGCGCGAAATCGATGGGATTGTCGTCCTGATAAGCTCCATGCGATGTGATCCCCATTTTGCAGCCGGAGGAAGAGGAAGCTGGAGCGGAAGCACGGATGACGGCACGCGCCATGGCATCCATGCCTCCAAATATGCTCGATCGCTCACGCCGCTCCTCCCGAGCTGCCGGATTTTCTTCTCCGGCGCGCACGACCCGCCCGGGGGTGCTGCAACCGCAAGAAATCCCCCGATCGGCAACGAGAAGAGAATGCAGATCATAGATTCCTTACCGCCTCGAGCCAGAGGAGATGGAAATCGCAGTGTGCGGCGCGCGGCGCCATTGATCACGTCCTCCTCCAAGAACCCTAGATTGTTTTGTACATGCGGCAGAGAGGGAAACGATTCGACCCTCAATGCCAGGAATATTCACCGATTTTAAATTATCCCAAGTAATCACTGGTGCCTTTGCCGCTTGTTTTGCTCGCTATACTTCTCCCAGTTCTTGTGATCCAGGCCACTTAAGTCGTCCAAGTCGCCGATCGCGAGCAAATACTCTGCCAAGTACACGAGCTCCTGGTCCGTGCCTCGATTCATGTGAGCTTTTTTAAAAGGCCGGATCACGAGACCATTTTGTGGATTCATCACGAAGTTCCTCTTGAGATCATCCAACATGATCGTGTTGTTTGGTCCATAAAACTGTAGCAAAGAAAGAAGAAACCAAAATTTAAAAAATGATAAGAGATCTAAAGAAGGATCTAAACGCTTTACCTCTGGAAGCTTTCCCCAGATTAAACCCAGTGGCTTGCAATCGAAAACTCCGCGGCTCTCGGACTGGACTGTGATCATCGCAAGATGGTCCAGGAGGGCCGTGATCTTATAGCTTGCATTGCCGAGAACTCCCAGCTCCTTCATCTTAACTTCCACCCATTTCATGCTGCAAAGCAAACACGACATTAGTAAGAAAAGGATCCTCTTTTTTCTCGATTGTCTCTTGTTGGTGGAGTCAAACCTTGTAGCGGACCATATGATGATGTCGTAGGCAGCGTAGGCAGCCGTAAGAAACTCGTGAAGATCTGTCAAAAGCGAAGTTCATGAGAAAAGATCACAGCCTTTGTGTGCTCCACGACCGACTTACACGGGCGCATCAGCTCCAGGGGATTCTCGGCGGTGGAACGATGATCAAAGAGCGTGTAATCAATATCCAAAACGAGAAGTTTCTTTCCCGGGCGACAAGGATTCAACAGCTTTAACTGTCAGCGAATAAAGCACGCAATAAAAATGAAAGACATGAGAAAAGTGCAGGAACACAAGATTATTTCTAACCTTGTACTGTTGAACTCGTCTCTGGATCTTAGCCTTGTTGATATCTTTGTCTTTGATATCGGTGGTGTCTTCCTCCCCCAGCTCAAAATCGTCCAAGACCTCGGGAGCATCCACGGTATCTACAAATATCTCATCTTCCACAGTGCTGGAAAACGATGAAATAAATCAAGAGTAAAACCAGAGCTAGCAAGCTATCAAAATCTTCTCTCTTTTATTTGTTCAAGAAGTCCCAGTCAAGCAAACTATACCACCAAACATTTTTATCCAATGCAGAGCATGAAAGAAAAACAAAAGGAAAAATTGGGAGCTTACCCGATCATGGAAATCTTGATCGCAGGCTTGAGGCCCAGGCCGGAGAGCAGCATGGAATCGTCGGCGGGCTTGGATCCCTTCTTCACATTGAGGAGCTTCTGGCGCTTGGGAAGAACATTGGTGACCTCGCAGATCCGGCGCTTAAGCTCTCCCACCGTGTCATCGCCGCAAACCCGCACCGTGTAATCCTTGCCAACCCATTTCACCACCAGCGTCAGCTCCTCACCCGATTCCTGGGACGTGGAAGCACTGCAGCCCGCCGCCTCTAGCACCATAGCACCCCTCTCTCACACTGCTAGCCCTAGAATTTGAATACACAGTGCTTTTACTTTAGTCGAATATTCACTGCCTTTAGTTGTAATTTTTCAGATCATAATATGGCTGTAACTCCTCGCGCGTGAAAGAAATGAGACCAGGAAAGACCATAACCAAGTCGAACAACACCGCAAGCACAGTTCCATCTCCTCGGCGCAGTGAATGACGAGCCCTTTGACTTGATGAGCTTCAAGTAAATCCATGACAACCATCACGTCGGGTGGCGGTGGAGATGAAGCGTGAGATCCTTGCGCTTAGAGACACCCCCGGGCAAAAACGACTGCATTTACGCGATTGGTAAGAAGAAGAAAGACAAAAAGACGGAGATCCACCTGAAAAGCAAAGCAGTCGACATGTATCGTCTCCACGCGGCCAAACCAAGATAAGATTTTGTCCATGGTCATCTTGTACTCGCTGGTGAAGACCTGCAGTGAGAGCGTCGAGGCCAGAGGCAAGAACCGAGAGAGCTGGACGATGGAATCCATCGCCCAGGATCCCATAAGCGTCAAGCTACGCAGCTTCTGACATGGCTTGTCAAGAACACAAGAGCTGTATAACATGGCCATCCTCAGATCCTGGGAGCGCAACCGAATGCTAGTCCTACTCGCTTGACTCAGTCGCATCAGTAGAGTTTCCAGCTTCGGGGCGTCGATCGTGAGCTCGAACGTCTCAAACTCCTCGTCGAGTTGCCCACACAAGACGAGAGCCCTGAGGCTTCCACTCGAGACTGTAAGATCGTCGCCAATTCCAGCCCTCAAAAGTTCCAGCCTCGGGCATGATGCTAGCAGCATCTGGGGCATCGCAGGAGAGACGGGCGACTGCAGCTCGCAGGCTTATAGGCACTGGAGAGAGCACGGCACCAAGCTCTGGTTGCCTGTGTAGATGCTCCCAGCGATGTGGAGCCTCGGAATCGCGGTGGAGCACGCGATCAAGAGCCAGACCGTCGGTCCCCATTCGAGCCCATCCCGAGCTTCGAGGGAAAACGTAGTGAGGGAGCCATCAGCCCAGGCAAGCCAGTAACCGCTAGCTTCCATCTGGTCATCACCATGGCCGCTATACCGGAGCATGACGCTGAGGCAGCCGGGAGCCTTGCACTTGGTGCGGTGGAGAGACGCTTCTTCGGCATCCTTCAGCTGCTGCCTGGTACTTACCACAAAGTCGAAGCGCGAGAGACATCGCTTGCACACCAGCGAGCATTTGGCGAGCTGCCGCGCATCGCCCCTTGGCGAAGACGTCCAGCAGGGAGCAACCGTCCAGCTCCAGCATTTTTCCCTCTGACCTAATGAAGCGGCCAAACCAGTATAACATATCGTCCATGGTCATCGTAATGCTCGCTGGTGAACAGCTGGAGCGAGAGCGTCGAGACTAGAGTTGAGAAGCGAGAGAGCTGGACGATGGGATCCATCGCCCAGGATCCCAGTAGCGTCAAGCTGCGCAGCGTCTCATATGGTCAAGAACACAAGAGTTGTAAGATGGCCGTCCTCAAATCCTGGGAGCGCAACCGGATGCTCGTTCGAGTCCTACGCAGTCCCGGCAGTAGATATTCCAGCTGCGGGGCGTCGAGCATGAGCTCAAAGTGCTCGCCAAATTCCCCACACAACACGAGAGTACTGAGGCTTCCATTCGAGACTGTAAGAGATCGGTCGCTGCCAATTCCAGCCCTCAAATGTCTCAGTCTCGTGCATGAGGCTAGCAGCATCTCGAGCAGCGCAGGAGAGACGGGCGAGCCAAGATTGCACACTTCTAGGCACTGGAGAGAGCATGAGACCAAGCTCTGGTCGCTAGTGCGCATCCTCCCAGTTATTTCGAGCATCTGGATCTTGGTGGAGCACGCGATCACGCTCCAGACCTTCGGTCCCCATGATATGAGCTCATCCCGATCGTCGAGAAAAAGTGTTGTGAGGGAGCCAGCAGCCCAGGCAAGCCAGTGACCGTAGCTTCGATCGGGTCATCGTCGCCATACCATGAGAGCATGACGCTGAGCTCCTTGAGGCAGCCGGGAGCTTTGTTCAAAGCCGAAGGACAGGCGACAGACGGCCACCATCGCTTGCGCATTTTGCGAGCTGCCGCGCATCACCCACTTTGGTGAAAACGTGCACCAGGTCCAGCTCCACCATTGGCCTTCGGCCGCATTCTAATTTTTCCTTTTCTTTCTTCTGACCTTTACTTTGATAATACATATCTTCCGTGAGTTTTAAGAACAATTTGAGTCAATGAACCGCCCAACTCTTGTGGCAGTCTCGCCATTGGCCAACGTTATGCCTGCCGTCTCAGGTAGAGCAAAGCCAGCGGCCATTCTTTGCTGCACAGCAACAAGCCTCGGGAGGTTCTCTCTCGACCAAATTTCCGGCTCATTCAAGCTCTGCGCTGCAGGAATCCCTCTACAGTGCTCATACAATGATTGCCGCCTTGGAGAATTCGCTCAGTCCCTACAGGACAATCGAGGGATACATCTTCAGCACTTGGCCAAATCAAAAGGGTTAAAACAGCAAATCCGAAGAAGAGTAATCACGGACCCGCTCCTCGGGTGTGAAAGAAACACGACCAGCACGTCGAACGACACCGCAAGCACTCAAACCTTGACTTCCCAGCTGGCCACCTCCTGCCAGTGCTTTTTGACTTGATAAACTCCAAGTAAATCCCTGAGAACCACCACGTTGGTGTAGTGCCCCTCACGTGGAGATGAACACGGAGATCTTTGCGCTACATCCCCATTGAATACAAGACGAAAAGATCAAGATCCACCTCAAAAAAGAACGACAGTCGACATGCGCGGCCAAACCTGGTCCATGCATCTCGATCTTGCTGGTCAAGACGAAGCGAGAGCGTCGAGACCAGAGGCGAAAACCGAGAGAGCTGATATCTCCCAGGATCCCATTAGCATCAAGCTACGGAGCTTCTTAAATGGCTTGTCAAGAACACAAGAGTTAAGTAAGATGCCCGTCCTCACATCCTGATGCGCGAGGGAGTCCTACTCGCTCGACGCAATTCCAACAACAGAATATCCGGGGCGTCGACTGTGAGCTCAAACGTCTCAAAGCCGTCGTCGAAATGTCCAGACAAGACGAGACCCCATTCGAGACTGTAAGAGATTGATCGCTGCCAAATCCAGCCCTCAAAACTTCCAGCCTGGGAGAGACGAGGGAGTGAAGCTCGCACGTTTGAAGCCACTGGAGAGAGCACGACACCAAGCTCAGGTCGCTAGTGCGCATCATCCCAGTTATGCAGAGCCTCCGCATCGCGGTGGAGGACGCGATCAAGACCGCCGGTCCCCAAGATATGAGCGTCGAGGGAAAGCGCTGTGAGGGAGCCAGCAGCCCAGGCAAGCCAGTAACCTTTAGCTTCGGCCGGGTCGTCGTTGCCATCGTTGCCATCGTCGCCATCGTCGACCGAAGTACGACGTTGAGTTCATCGAGGGAGCCTTGTACTTGGTGCGGTGGAGGACGCTGGAGATGGGATCCTCGTCAGCTCCTCCATGCCATTTACCTCAAAGTCGAACTGGAGGCAAGCTTGATCCTAAAATAAATGTTTCTTTCGTTACCCTTAGGTTTTGAGCAAATATATATAAGTACGTTTTCTAGATATGGACGTGCACCTTCAGAGATTGCATGCGGCAGTCTTTACTCATTCGGTGAGATCTCTCGTCCCGTGTTGTCTTTTATCAAAAGCCTCTCTTCTCTCTCTCTTTTCTCATACCGCTGGCTGCATCAACAAATTGCGCGCGGCATATGGCATTCATAAAGCGGCGTCAGGTGTTGGATGAGCAGTCGCTGCCAACTTTTCTCCTCCATTGGCAAAGGGATACACTTCTTAGGCTCAAGTCCTTGAAGGACTAAATGGCGAATCCACAGCTGTTTCTCCAGGATCAACCTCTCGCCCATAGCTCAATCTCTGTTGTTTGCTTTGGGGGTGGTGGCACCATAAAGTTACGTCGCCCTGCCGACCGGAGCCCATGAATCCCGTGACAGTCTGCGATCTGGCAGAGAGCAAACTTAAAAAGATGGAGGGAGTGAGAGAGCCCCCCGCGCCCACGAGAGCTTTGCTTTTGCCAATCCATCCAGTTCTTCAACGCAGACCTCTCTCCAACCGAGTCGAGTCGAGTCGAGTGTTTCTTTCGTATCTCGCTTGGGGGGCTCCAGCAGCGATGGGGTTGTGGTCGTTGCTCGCAATTCTTACCGCAGCTCTTGCGGCGCTCTCGTCACTGGCCAACGCGCGAAAGCTACTCGACACCAGCAATGGAGGAGAAAAGTATGGGAAAGTGATGGGCTACGTCGTGTGTGATGCCTGCCGCGAGAAGAATCTCACGAGCAACAGCGTTTTCCTCTCAGGTAGAGCGCGCTGGTAAAAAAGTTTTTGGCGGATTCGCTCACTCTCTTACAGGTATGACGGTCTCACTTACGTGCAAAGCCGTCGGCGGCCAGCGTCCATTCTTTACCGCGCAGCAAGCCACGGACGAGCAGGGGAGGTTCTCTCTCGACATCCCATCGCAAATCTCCGGCTCCGGCGATGGATTCAAGCTCTGCGCCGCGAGCGTCGCCGCGGGAGAGAAAGGAATCACTCCTCTGCAGCGCTCATGCAACGTTGCCGCCATGGAGAAATCGCATTCTTCTCTCACTCCCTACACAACAATCGAGGGCCATCGAATCTTCAGCACTGGCCCTTTCGTCTACACACCATCCAAATCTCTCCAATCGATCAAATCGTGCGGGGAGAGCTCGCAGGACAAGGCTAAACAATCCAAGAGTGACGCTTCTTCGTCCTCTCATCAATTTGGCGAAGAGAAAGCTCCAGCGTTTCCCAGCTTCCCGAATTTCGGGAACCCATTGTCCTTCCCACCGGTTTCTTTCCCGAATTTCGGAGGGATTCCATCGTCCCCGGCCTCGCAATTCCCAATCACGTCTCTCTTCCCTCCCATCCCGGCCAATCCACCGCCGCTCCTCTCGCAAGTTCCACCTCTCGCGGGGCTCCCTCCCTTCCTGGGATTCCCGCAGCTCCCAGCGTTCCAGTTCCCATTCTTCGCAGCTCCTCCTCCCCCAGGAAACTAGACCGATGGATCCGTAGCTCGTTACTAACAGAGTTGCAATAACAAGAGTGATCGATAGCTTAGAAACCATGAATAACGAACTTGTGTATGTCTGACAAAGTTGATAAAAATGAGAAATTTACGCGCACGATTGGCATACCTTTTCGCCAAGAAGAAATTGGTGGCCTCGCTGCCAGTGACGAAGTCACATCTGGTAATCAAAACAGAGATCTTAGAGCTTTCGCGATTTGTAGCGAGTGAAGTATACTAGACATTACTTACATCAAAGTCAAAATGGTAGAAACTCCATTCCCGACGAAAAACACCACCAGTGACCGACCACTCTTCCGCCTGGAAAGGAAAAGAAACGAAGAGTTTGGAATTTTCTGCAAAGTTTGGTCACCAGATCACCTCGCTTGACGAGTCCTTTCTTCTGTAGTTCCTCCCCCTCGTACTATTCTGCTTATAAAACTTCCGTCTTGCAGTCCTGCATTGCTTGTTCCCTCTTCTCCTCGAAAATGGCCGCTTCGAAATCCCGCTTGCTGGCTTGTTTGATCCTCTTGACACTGGCAGCAGCATCTCTGGCCGAGGCTGCCAGTCCCAGGCACCGGAAGATCGCCCACAAATTCCACCGAAAGAAGAAGCATCAGCTCTCGAGCGGTCAGACTCCAAGCCGGAGTGCAACGCCTGTGACAAGAACACTCGTCGGCCACGTTGTGTGGTACGACTGCTGGGGCCAAAGCCTGTCATTCCTGCCTGGTACGTGCTCTCGCTGAGGATTTCGGCAACTGAAAACTTATCGCCTTTCCTGCAGGAATGACCGCGGTGGTGGAATGTAAAAACAGGGATGGGCTTCTGGTATTCAATGCGCTACGTACCAGCGATGAGAACGGAGCCTTCATGGTGGATTTGCCCAGTAACAAGCTCCTTGTCAAGTGTTTTGCCAAAGTTGCGACAGATCATCACCACCGAGTGAAGCAGCACGCCGTCTCAGTCTCCCTCGAGGATAAATCTGATTACCGGCATCGAAGAAACGGAGGCAACCAGCAGCTGGTGTATACCATCGGTCCTGTCGTCTACAGAAAACCAGAAGTAAAACATCAGCAAAACGGAGGATTCATAAGCCGCTTACTAGATCAAGTTGGTGAGGGTGCTGCTGCGGGAGCTGGAAGTGCTGGCGGTGGAGCGACTTGGAGCTGGCTTCCAAAGTTTCTCGGTCGCTCGACAACAGCCAGGAGCAGTTCCTGTGCCTGTTCTAGCTTCCGCTCCGAAACCGGTGGCATAAAGAGAGGGTGTGCTGCCTTGAACAGATCGAAAGTTTGATTAGTAACTTGTACAAAGCTGGGACACTCTACGAGTTATCCGGTTGCTCTACATCTCCTCCTCTGTTTTGTTCCTTTAGAGAATGCGTGTGCTTGCTCTACACCACCAATCCATTCTCTTTGAAGAAAGAAAATACAGTATGCACATACCTCGTCTATTCATCTTTGTCAGCTGCTGCCGCTCGGGTTTTAGCAGCTTTCTTTTCTTGTTGCAAACGCTCCACCATCTCCTCGTATGATTTCTGAGTAAACACACGTCCAGTCTAGAGTTTTCCAAATCTTTGAAGATAGAAAGAGACTTGGAACCTACCCCGGTATTGTTGTGCCTCCACGCATTGCTCATCATCGAGTCGGCTAGCATAATTGTCACCACTGCCATGCTGAAAGAAAATATGTCTTCACTCAATCGAGAAGAGCCACAGAAGAAAGAATGTTTTCTAAGAAAACCAGCTAAAGAACTTACCCGAAGAGAGTGGCTCGAAGAACCATCCTTGGGCCTTCACTGGGAGCATGATGAAATGTCCATCTTACACTATAATCGTAGTCCCTCTTGGATCCGGCATAATTTCCCCTATACGACCAATCTGACGATCGACTAGAAGATCCATCCGTGTAGCTCGTGTAGCGCTGCTCGGATCGCCAATCCCTGTGCTGCTGCGCGGTCCTCGCGTAAGCACTTCTGGCCGCTTGAGCGGCGGAATACGTCGAGGAAGGATTGCTGCCCGGAGTGCTGTATCTCGGCCCCGATCGATTGTAAACCTCCCTCTTCTTGTCATTGCCAAGAATCTCATACGCCTCTTTCACTTGCCTGAAGCTATCCGACGCGTTGCGCTGCTCGGATTTGGAAGCGTTGGCGTGGCGATCCGGATGGAACTTGAGCGCCAGGCGGCGAAATGCAGCTTTGATGTCATCGCTGCTCGCGTCCCGGGACACGCCGAGCACTCGGTAGAGATCCACCATCACCAAAATCCCCAAAGAACCCTAAAACTCAACAAGAAGGATTCTATGCTGCGTGATGTGGCCGTGACGTGGAACGCCAACAATCACAGACGAGAATATCCTTCCTTTCGACCCACGTGGACTGTCCTGGCGCTGCCACGTCTGCACACGTCATCACTGATTTTTTCCCTTCTTTTTTCCTTTGCTACTCGTATGAGATGAGAGGTTTTCTTTCTTCTCTCTGCCCTGGGCGGGGCATTGAATGCGCAGATCTACACGTCCTTGGCGCTGGCAGCGAAGAACAGGAGGCACTGGCTATGGATCTCGAGCAAATCACTGCTGCTGGATCGAGAAAAAGCTGCAAGGTACTACTGCTTGGCTGTGATTCGTGCTAGCCGCTGCGCCGGTCACGCGTTCCAGCGTTCCAATCCATGGCCGCCGTTCCCGTCGTCGTCATCTAGAGGCGAGATTCGTGCGAGATTGGTGATTTTGGGGTTTCTGGGGCCGCGAATCCTCTCAGCCATGCCGGATTGGCACGAGAATTTCGAGAACAAGCACTGCCGGATGCTCTCGGCGCCGCTCATGATCTTCCTCGTCGATCCCTTCGACAGCCTGCCGGATTCTCTGCTGCTGCTCATCTTCAACAAGGTATCGGACGTGAAATCGCTGGGGCGGTGCTGCGCGGTCTCTAAGAGGTTCTATTCTCTCGCTAGAACGGTGGATAATGTGGTGGTAAAGGTGGACTGTGTGATCTCCGGGGACGAGGCTGGCCATCTAAGCGCTCGAGGCAAAGGCTTCTTTGGTCACTTGCTAAAATTCTTTGGGAGTATGGTCCGGCCACTCCAAGCTCTTCAACACTTGCTAGTCCCAAAGAGAGCTTTGGTTGCTTCCACCTCCGCCGCAACCACTGCCGCCGCCGACGTCTCACACCACTCTCCCGGGGAAGTCCTCAAGAACTTTAGAGACTTGGAGCACTTGAGAATCGAGCTCCCGGGTGGCGAGCTCGAGATCGAGGATGGTTTTCTGCTCAAGTGGAAGGCCAGGTATGGGAGCACTCTCGAGAGCTGCGTCATCCTGGGTGCCTCGGCGCTGATCAACAGCGGCGATCAAAGTAGTAGCAGGAAGAACTCGACCAGGACGTCGTCCTCCTGGCTAAGTAGTGCTGCTCAAAGGAGAAGCTCCGACACGCAGAGCTCGTCGCCACCACCACCACCACCAGCAGCGGCGGAAGACGATGGAAACCTTCCAGACGCCGACGGTGGCTTCAAGCTCCGGGTGGTGTGGACGATAAGCTCGCTCATCGCTGCGTCGGGGCGACACTATCTCCTCCAGAACATCATCGC